TCTCTCTCTCTCTCTCTCTCTCTCTCTCTCTCTCTCTCTCTCTCTCTCTTTATATATATCTATATATATATATATAATATATATTTGTGTGTTTCCAAGAGTCATCATCTACCGTTGACGATGACGACAAGTCAACGCAAAGGATAGAGATCACATATCTTTCTTCTTTTTTAGCTTTTCAGTCGTCCGCCGCGTATATATATATAGCTTATTGCTTGCCTGCCAATGTGCGCATTGAATGCAAATTAGGTTAGTAGGTTGCTGAACATTGTGAATAAGTATTTGACGTTGTCGCAATCTTCTCATACACGCATTCAATTTCTATCCTTTCTATTTCTTCGTCTTTCTTTATGAACATTTTTATATGCATGCCGTTTTTGACATTATCAGCTGTCAACAAAGAAAGTAAGACGACGAACAAATTTTCTTTAATATTATCATTGATGTTCTATATTCAATTGTCAATTATTATTCAGTTTTATATATCACCATCATTAAGCATGTTTTGTAATTTAGAGTACATATATATAGATATATCTATGCATGTATGTGTGCGTGCAGAGTCCAAAACGCAATATAAACGAATGATAGTTATAGAGTAGCAGTAGAAGGGTGATAGAAAGACGATAAAATAGAGCATTGAATTGTATGTTCTATCGTCCTCGTCTACAATATGATCGCAGCATATCTGCACTAATATACAAACACACGCGAAAGGTTATTGTTTTCACATCTTGTCTCAACGACAACGCTGACGACTATAGCCAATTCAAGAAAAAAAAATGAATGTATGCGTATGTACATATGTTATCTTTTACCATAGTATGTATAAAAGCAAGAAATGAGAACGATGGGTGACCATTATTGAATTTGTAAGCGAATGAGAATGTTACTATTGACCGCCTTGAACAAGCAAGCGGTCAATCAGCAGACAGTTACACCGATCATGGACAAAAAACTGACTGTTATTTCTTTTAGACAAAAGAAAAAAGAAAAAGAAGAAGAAGAAGAAGAAGAGGAGAAAAGAAGCGATTTTAGATTCAGGATTGATGCAGATTGGCAAATCATCATCATCATTGACGACAGCAGCATCTCTCTCTCTCTCTCTCTCTTCACTAGAGTGGCGTGTGCCATCGCTCTTTTTTCTCTTTTTCTTAGTCTGTCTGATTGTTGTTGTGTGTTACTACACGAAAGATGTGGTGTGTCTCTCCATAAAAGATATAAATATGCTTAAAAAGAGAAACAGGGTAGACGACGATGTATGTGTGCAAACGCATGTCGATGAGAAAGAGCAGGAAAGGAGTGCAACCAAGCGGCAGTAGCGAACGGTTTTGTTTAAATGCGAAAACCTAAAAATGAGAGCAACAGCGCGGCACAAAAGAGTGTGTATGTGCGTGTATATGTGAGAGTGAGAGTGAGAGAGAGAAGGAAGAGTTATGTGTTCGCCTTTTCTTAGTGTGTTTGTGCTATCAATTTTTCTCTTCTTATTCTTCATTGTCATAGTACGGCTACACGTCGATATAGCATAAATGGTATGTACACGGAAAATTACGATTATCGCTTGTGAGTTATATGTAGATTATGATGATGATGATAATAATAATGTTGCTAGTTAGTTAGCTAACTGTCAAGTATTGAAAATAAGCAAACGTAAAAGGAACAAGATTTTGATCGAGTACTTTATTAATATTCGAGAAGCCACGTGTTATATCTCGACTATAAGTACGTGTATATTTTTAAAAAAAAAAGAAAAGAAACTAGGCAATGAAAAATGTGCAAGTAATCGAGAGACATACATATATACAATGATGTACTGCTTACTCGTCGATTTGTCTATCTTAGTCGTGCATATACACGTATACACAAGGGGTACAACGCACACGTCAGCATCGAGTGCAAATAGATGAAAAAATATAGAAACAACTCTCCCTCTCTCTCTCTCTCTCGTTTGCTCGATAGTTTGCCTGGCTTCTCACACCCATCTATCCTTTTTCTTGCTCTTGCGATTAGAAGCTACTATTTCTATTACTACAACGAGTGCCACCACACACATTTATATATATATTACTCTATGTGATCATTATCATCAACAATAACATAAGCAGTGAATGAGACGAGTGTGCAAGCGACTTTTATTTCTCAGTCAAAGAGAAAGAGAGAGAGAGAGAAGAGGGAATCGCCTTTCTTGACATTGTCGTCAGTTCTACTACTATTGAGCATTTTACTTGTTCTTGTCTCTGTCGTATGTGTATGGCGGGTAGATACCGTTTCCGGTTAATTGCAGCAGTCATAGTCGATTTTTCTCCTCTTCTTTTCACACACACACACACACACACATTCACACAAGTCGCTCATTTTCTTCCTTTATTTTATTGCCAAAAAAAAGAAAAACGAGAAACATTTTTACTCTTCATACATACGTACTTATTTTAATTCTTTCTTTTTTTTTCTTCTTCTTATGTCATAACTCATCTTTTCTTCTTATATGTTGCATACCTTTCTTTTCTTTTTTGTTTTGCCTTTTTTTTTCTTCTTATTTCTAACTAAGCACTACTATTCTTTTTGACTCTGTTTTTTTTCTGATATACATCGAGAATCTAGCTTACACGCAAGCTAATTCGTCAAATACTACTCTATCGAATGTCATTGCATCCTATTACACTAGTAAGAAAGAAACTCTGTTTAGTAATGCTAGAAAAAAAAATCAACACACCCAGGCAACAAAATCAAATTAAGACGCACACAACTAGTGTAAGTGTATGTATGCGTATGAAAGAGAAAAGTGTCAATAATGGATGTTGAACGTCGTCAATGTTCGACGGCGGCAAGCGGGCACAGCCTTGTATATGTATTCGTTTTTCTCTCTACTCTTCTCATGCCACCATCTCTGACCGATGAAAGAGAGAGAGAGAGAGAATAATGTATATGCTTCTTATTTTCTAGATGTGATGTTCACACAATAATGCTGTGTGCAACAACAGAAGGAGAAGAAGAAAGATTCATCTTTCATTCCCGGTGGTCGTATGTATTGTATACGCGCTTCATGTTCATTTTCTGATCAGCAATAACAACGACCATGAGCAATAGCAAAGAAACAATGACAAAAAAGCAACAAGATGACCTTGCTTCAACTTTTAATAGTATGGTTTCTTTCTTTCTTTTTTTTTATTAAAAGAATAGTTTTTCTATCTATTGATATAATATTTTATAGATCTCCCATGGGGTCTTCCAATGGGTTTTTCCTCAATGCCACCATTCGGCTCATTTCCACCTTTTGGTTTACCTACATCAAATTTTCCATCAATGAACAGTTTTGCTTCATCAACAACGGCTAATTTTCCTCCTCCACCATTACCTTCATTATTATCAAATGATTCTACAAATTCAATAACATCTGATATGTGGTCAAATGGTTTAGCAGCTGCAAATACAAATATTGATTATAATGAATATGCAAAACAATTAGGTTTACTTATGAATGCATTTAATGAACAATCACAACTAAAACCAGAAGTTGATAAATCGAAATGTAAATAAGTTAATTTTATAAAAAAAAAAATTATTTTTATCAAATAATCTTTATTTTGTAGCATCATCAAATGTAAAATCTTCAAAATCTAAACGATCGACACCTACTACTAATTCTTCACCATTATCTTCATCGGATATTATTAATGGTAAAACTTCTACATCAAAACCTATCGATGAATCTCATCATCGTCCTACATCTACATCATCATCGACATCTTCACGTCGTTCATCATCAACTAATCCGAAAAAATCATCAAATCATAATTCGAATGTAACATCTTCGTCAAAACTACCTACTAATAATGATTCATCCGTACTCGATCCATTAGCATTTGCAGCTGCTGCTGCAAGTGGTAGTCTTACATTTCCTTATTTTCTTCCATCATTACTTTCACAATCAACAGGAACAAATAATAATTCGTCAACAAATTATCCATTCTCAGCTCTGTCATCATCATTAATAAATCCAGCTGCAGCAATGTATCCATTTTTATCACCAGACTGGTTCACATCATCATCATCATCAGCAAAATTACTTGAAAGTTTTAATACTGATAAATCAACAGGTAATTGAAGTCAAATTCTTTTTCATATTCATTATAAATTTTCTTTTTTTTTCTCTTCTTAGAATCAAATTCACATCAAGTAGTAAATAAAATTTTTATGAAGTAATAATATTTTTATTTCATTTTCTTTTTCATTAGTCAAAATCAAAACAATCACAAAAACATATAACATCTGAAAATAAACATTTACCATCACTTAATTCTCTACTTAACGAATCGCCTTCATCATCGTCATCATCATCTAAAGTATACAACTTTGAAAAAATAAATCATCCTTGAAAATCAAATGAAATACTTTTTTTCTTTATATTAGTCAAAAAAACGTGCGAAATCAATTCGGGCATTAACTGAAGAACAAGAATTAAAAAATTCAAGTCTTCTTCATTCAGCATTAGTAAGTTTAAGTTCTCATATGATATTGTTGTATCATCTTCAATTGATTCAACATAAGTGGTGATGTGAGATTTATTTGTCATTTCAAGATTTTAGAAACATTGAGAAATAAAATTGTTCTTGTATTTTTTAGACCGAACCAACATATATAAATGGTTCACGAGAGAATCTATTAGATTCAAGTCGACGAAGTAGTATTAATGATACATCATCAAATCGTCAAACACCATTGATACAATCTGCAGATGAATCAAGATCAAATGATGATGGTAAATTTTTATTCGATTAATTTCAATAGGTAATTTACAAACAAAAATATGTTCTAGATGATTCAGATCCAAATCCTAAACGACGCAAAACTGAAGAAGTTAATGAAGCATTAGTTCGAACACCATTAAATCGCGGGTATGTAGTGTATATATGTCAGTTTGATTTATCTATATATATATATATATATTTCAGATGGAAACGTGTAACAATCGTTCGTGCAATAACACGAACTGGTGTACGTGGTGATGTTTCATATTATGCACCATGTGGAAGAAAATTACGTTCATTTCAAGAAATCGATCGAGTAAATTAATTATATTTATATTTATTAATTAATAGTTTTTATTTGATTTAGTATTTATCGAAGAAGAATATCACAGATTTAGATCGTTCACATTTTACATTCAGTTCCAAAGTACATATTGGTCATTTTCATGAACCAAAAGAAGGTCCCGATGGAAAAGTAAATTCATTATTTTTATGAAATAAGAAATCATTTTTTTTCATTTTTAGACAATCTTTCAAGAATCAACAGAAGATGAAATAGTTAATCGTATAACAGAAATGAATCCAAAATTTCGTCGTATTAGATATGAATATGAAAGTGATACACCAACAAAAACTTCAACTGTATCAAGTCCATGTCATAACAATGGAATAAATGATCATCATCAAGCACCACAAGATATAATTCAACAAATGTATGAAGAAAATCGAAAATTACGATTAGAACAAGAAGGTTTGTTTTTTGATCTATATTTATTTCAAGAATAGAATTTTTTTCGAAATAGAAATGGCTAAACGAGCAGCCGAAATCAAAACAAAACGTGAAACAATGCGTTTATTACGAAATATAACTGGTGAAAGTTCTAAAACACCTGAACATTTATCAAATTCTCAATATCAACATAATGATTTTCTTAAAGCTATTATTGAACAACAAAAATTAGCTCAACAACAAGAACATGAACATAAACAAAAATTACAACAAGAACAACAAGTATGATTGAATTAATTCTAAGGATAAACTTTGTCATTCATAAAATTTCTAGGAACAAGAACGTAAACGTCAAGAATTAGCTTATTTAAAACAACTTGAATTAAAAAAACGTCAAGATGAAAAAAATTTATTAATTGAACAACGTAAAGCAGAAAAAAATGCTGAACGTGAAAAGAAAATAGTAAATTTCATATATTATTTATAGTTAATTAAATATATTTTTTGTTTTGTTTTCAGCAAGAAAAATATATCGAAATAGTACATGCAAAAGAAGCAAAAAGAATTGCTGAAGATATGCAATTACGAGATCTTAAAGTAAATTTAAAAATTCGCTTTTTTATTAAAAAATATTTATTTTTTTTCGTCTTTAGCCACTTCCGATATTAAAACCGGTGGAAAATATGCGTTTATCAATTGAAGGATTTGCTCATTCATTAATGATAATTCAATTTTTAAATAATTTCAAACGTATTCTTCAAATTCGTATGTATTTATAAATGAATGCTTTTCTTTTATTTGTAAAATTTCCTTTTTTCTTTTCATAGCTGATAATTTAATTCCAACATTAAATACTTTTCAACAATCATCGTCATTACGAGATATAAATTCTCTTTGTCAAATTTTACTTACGATTGCAATAGAAGATCCTGGTATATCAAATCCTAAAAAAGGTTTAACTATTCTGGGACAAAAATTATCCGAAATTGATATAACTGAACATACATTCAGTGAAATTCTTCGTTTATATATTCGAGAACGAAATGGTTTTGATGATAAAGTAAAAAAGAAATGAAATAGATTTACGACAAAATGTTTTTTTTATTTTTATGAATAGATCACTCAAAATTTGTCAGATACATCATTTCAATCATTAATAATGGATGATAAACTTGAAATATTAGCATTTTTATGTAATGATTTATCAGCAAATAAACATGTAGTAGAGTAAGTTGAATTTTATTTCATTGAATTCGATTTATATATTGAATTTGTCTTTTCTAGAGAAGTTGATCGTAATCTTGATGAATTAAATGTATTAAAACATGAAAAATTAGAAATTGAAAAACGTTTACGACGTTTGAAAATTGAAAAATCAAATAACCCAAATAGTAATAATAATAATATTAAAAAAATGACGACAATAATACGCGAAAAAGATGTGAACAGTTCAGATAATGAAAGTCCGGATGAAAGTGATGGTGGTAATATATTATTATTATTCTTTTTCAAACCAATAAATAATTCTGTTTTTCTCCCTTTCTAGAATCTTTGAAAAATGATGATGAAATATCGATTACAAATGATCCAGCAGCGATTACAGCTGATGATCAAGATATTGAAACTATCGATGAAACTAAAATCGATGATTTAGATAAACGTTTAACACTTGTTACAAGAAAATATACACTTATTAAACGTCGTGTTATTGATAAACAATGTTATATACGTGCAATTCATCTTGGACAAGATCGTTATCGTCGTCGTTATTGGTATTTTTCACATTTATCAGGAATTTATGTTGAAGGATTAACATCAGGTGATATATCATCGAATGATATAAAAGATATTGTTCAAAATGCAACTAAACTAAAACTTGATAAAACAGGAGAAGTTATTCCATTATCACGTTCAGCACAACGTAAAAAACAACAACAAACAAAAGTTATAAATCCACCAACACCACCACTATCATTAACATTATCGACCAATTCTACCGAACAAACAATTCCAATTGAATTAGATAAAATCAAAAATGAAAATAGTGATAATGAAGAAGAACAACCACAAGTTAATTTATCAGAAGATCTTACAACAATGGGTTTATCTGCTTTTTGTATGGCTGCTAAAAGAGATGATAATGATGATGATGATGATGAAAATGACGAGAAAACAATTTCTAATGAAAAAGAAAATCAATCAATTATTATTAAAGATGAAATAAGTGATGAAATAAATAATAATAATAATAAACGTGATTTAAATGAAATTATCGATGATACTAATCTTCCACTTGATCTTTCCTGTTCAAAACCTAAACGTTCTTGTGAAGAAGATTATTGGTCATCACAACATAAACAAGCTGCTTATCCTTTACCTTCAACATCACTCAATAAACTTGATCAATTTCAAGAACTTAATGGTCTTGCAACAACTGCGATTTTATTAAATAATATTAAACAAGAAAATCTAACATCAAATCATATTCTTAATTTAACACATACAAATCCAATGTTGTCACCATATGATTTCTCAACATCTATCAAACAAGAATCATCAACAAATAATTTTAAACAAATTGAACAAAGTATAAGAGAAAAATTTCAATATTCACAACCATTACCTATTCCAGATGGTAAATATTAATCCTATTAACTTGATTTAATATATCTATTGAGTACTGATAATGCTCTTTCCCGTAGAGGAGAGTCTTGCAAACATAAACTGTCTTTTTACTTGTGTCTCCGCACTTCACTGATTGATCGACGACGAATCTGATGTCGGTTTGAATAAATAGTTAAGGCATATCATTTTTACGAGAAAGAGCTGAGCGTCACTTGTATCTGTAATTAACATACTTTTTTTTAATATTAGATGTTCAATCTGGTTGGTGGTTAATTCAAACATCTGATGAAATACGTCAATTAATGAAATCTTTAGTTAAACGTGGTCAACGTGAACGATATTTATGTCGAATGCTTCAACGTTATTTCGATATTATAACAAATTCTATAAAATTACATTCTGAATTAAATCCCAAACCTGAACTTTCACAATCATCCGCTGAAAATAATGCAGAAAATGAAGCAAATGCTCCTGTTGAAAATGAAAATGTCAATGATGATAATACACACGAAATGGATGTTTTAAATGAAATCTATGATTTTTCCGATCGTATTATTTCATCAAGTCTTCATTGTCGATCTTACGATACAAATAATATTCGTAATCGTTTAACTTATTCGGATATTCAATCAAAAGGTTCCGATATTCTTGATGAAGTCAAACATTTATTAATTGATATTGAACGTAATATTGAACGACGTTATTTAAAACATCCATTTGTTCGTCGATATGAAATAAATTTATCATCATTAAATCGTATTAATCAAAATAGTACATATCATCATACAATAGAAAATTCTACTGATGAAATTGCTTCACCATCAAAATATGATGAAGTACCACAACAACTTGAACGTTGGCGACGTACTGTAAATGAATCACGTACACCAGCACAATTAGCTTTATGTTTAACACAATTAGAACGTTGTATTGCATGGGAAAGATCAATAATGAAAGTCTATTGTGAAATATGTAATTCCGATAGTGATGAAGAAAAATTATTATTATGTGATGGATGTGATCATGGCACACATACATATTGTTTTTTACCACCTATGTCATTTATACCACCGAATGATTGGTATTGCTATGTTTGTATTGGAAAGGCTAAAGGAGAAAGTTTATGTTTTGTTTGTGGAAATAAAGGTGATATTCCATTGAATCGATGTGAACATTGTGGAAAATTATTTCATGAAAATTGCTTAAAAAATGCTAAACAACAACGTGGAAAATGGTTCTGTGTTTTATGTTCAGCAACTGAAATTTCTTCAAATGGAAATACACCTACTAAATCCGTATGAGATTGATCTTATTTTTTATTTAATAAAAAAATCTTATTTTTCTAGCAAGTAAACCGTCAAACATCACGTTCAGCAAATTCTCGTCAACCATCAAATACAAATGGTGATACTATAAATCAATCGCCACCACCACCACCACCGCCCCCACCCGCAACAACAACAAATACGAATACAAGTCGTAATAAATCGACAAATAATCGAAAATCAAAATCAAATAATAATAATAATACTGAATATTTAATAGTACAAGAATCACATTCAAATTCTTCTCATGCTGATGCAACAACAATGAGTAGTTTAAATGATTCATCATCTATTGAAACAAATGATATCGATGATGATATTCCATCACCAACTATTGGTACTACAACTAATAATTCAAAAAAGAAATCGTCGAAAAAATCTAAAATAAATAACGATGTTAAACATTGCCGGTAAACAAAAGAAAGTCATTTCAAAAAAAACTTTTCCTTTTTGGTTTTTAGAATTATATTAAATGAATTATTAAAAAGTGATGTATCATGGCCATTTCAAACAGCTGTTGATGCTAAACAACATCCGGAATATTATGAATGTATTAAAAATCCAATGGATTTTTCCATAATGAAAAAGAAAATGCGTAATAATCAATATACAAAACGTGAAGATTTTTTTCATGATATGGAATTAATATTAAATAATTGTGAATATTTTAATGAAGATGATAGTCCTGTTGGTCAAGCTGGACATTTATTACGTACATTATTTCAATCACAATGGACAAAACAATTCGGTTAAAATTTTTTCTTTTGGTTTCTTTTATGTGCCATTGTAAATACGACAAAAAAGAATAAAAATATATTATTTGTTGAATCTCTTCTCTTGTCTTTATCATTGACTACTAGAATGAAATAAATTTTTTTTGTATTGTATTTGTTTGAGATATAAAAAAAAAATAAGAAAGAAACTTATACAAATATTCGCCTTTTTGTTCTATTTTCTATCTTCAGGTCAAAGTAAATCAATTCATAATGATGTTTTTCTTTTCTTCTGGAGTTCGTTTTTCTATCATTACACACAGTATTTTGTTGTATATCATCATCTATGCTGTCAGATTGTCGATGTTTTTGTTTATATATATATATATATATATGTGTCTAGTTGGAAAGAATAATAATAACTGTGTGATCGATAAATGAACATACATGCATATATTATTTAATTAGTAATATGATGAAGTTCTTTTTTTCAATCAAAAGAATATACTTAAACCGAGATGTATAAAATATCTTGGGATGATATCAAAATTTCGAAAACAAGAAAAAAGGAAATACCGAAAAGAGGAAATCTCGAAAAGCTGGATGATCGAAAGGGAAAACCTTGAAAAACCATCTTGAGAGTGTGGGAGTGGTGTGCGTGTGGATGCCGGTATGAGTATTGGCGTATCATATCTATGATAGCCACACCCAACCCACACCCACATCCACACCCATACCCACACCCACACCCACATCCA